TGCCAGCAATTTTGTTTTTTCAAATGGAACACCCTGTATACTTTTACATATTCAGGTTCAACAGGTCAAAACAAGTGCAATCTTGATGTCAAATGTCATTTATTCCACAGCCTACCTAGTTGAAAAATTATTCTAACTGCAAGGAAATTCATAAATTGATTTTTGAATGTATACAATTTGTTACTGCACCGAAAAACAATAATGATATGTCATGTTGTTCCTTAATGTATGTTCTAGAGAGACGGGTAGGTGGCCCATAGGGGTTCCTTTTGAAAAAAAATTATTTTTGATCAAAAAGTGATGTGGCTGAATTGATTCCTGGATAAGTGACACAAAAAATAATTTTTCAGAAAAAATTATGTTTTTCTGTTATGTGTGACTCACTGTCAATAGTCTTGACCACATCTCATTTATCCACGAAGTAAAATGAAAAAAACAATTTTAACTTAATTTTTTTTCGAAAAAATGACATTTGAAATAAGGATTGCACTTGTTTCGACCTGTTGAACTTGAATATGTGAAAATATACAGAGTGTTTCATTTGAAAAAACAAAGTTGCTGGCATTTCCAGAAATACCGGAAGTCCGCCATGTTGGATTGTAATGTGATCAAATCCGAAATAATTGCTTATATGACTGTACCAAATTTCAGAAAAATCCGATGACGAAAGCAGAAGTTACAGGGGTGGCCCGATACCCTGTGTCACCCGGTATATCGGGAAAAAAGTAATTTATGAAAAGTGACATTTCATAACCTGCCGACAGAGATAAAATGCCAAACTTTTTTCCCGTCACAGAAAAAACAGTATTTTTCATACTTGTCGTAAATAAATATTCTTCCATATTAACAATTATTTTTATTTCTCTATCACGGATAGGTATAAGACCTTTCCACCTCTCATTGACCACTATCAGATTTCCTTCGACTTTCTTACAGTAAACTTGCTGACGTGGAAGTAATTTAGATTCTGTTTTCGTTCCTCACTTTTTCTGAAAGTTTCGGGGCGGCGCATTTTCTCTGTTTTTGTTGAACTCACGATACATTCTTTCATCATCAAGTATGGCAGAAGTAGAAGTTCCTTCAACAAAAAATGTCACGGACCTAACATAATTCGTCACGAAATGCTTATCTTGATTATATCACCCTCAGGCATGGCAATGAATCAACAATTTCAAGGGCTCCATACTAATGACCCTTCGTCCTATATAGGTCGTTTGCTATAACTGTCAAGTTTCCACATTCGTTTCGTCATCTCAGTTCCGACTGTATTCAGTGCTTCACGGATACAATTTTAGCATCTCAAAAAATGAGAGATAAAAAAGACATCTGCCTTATACCAGAGATACGCGGCTGGACGCAAGAAAGACATCAGGCATACTGGAATAATGTTCCAGGACAAAGACACAGTCATTGTCGTTCTAGATGACAACCTAGTTATGTAGTTAGTAGGCAGGAGCTATAATATTGTTTGTTCATTGAAAAAAAAATGAAGAAAGGATGTAGTTCAGATACATCTACGTGCATTGAGTAAACTAATTAATTTTTTCTGTGACGGGAAAAAAGTTTGGCATTTCATCTCTGTTGGCAGGTTATAAAATGTCACTTTTCAAAAATTACTTTTTTCCCGTGGGAAAAAAGTGAGTACTTTTTTCCCGGATATATATCACATATATATACTCTGTTAATGGCTTTTGTTGTGCTATAGTTCCGAAAAATGAGTCAATAATACCGTCTCCGAGAAAGAACTGCAAGTCCTTTTATCTTCCATTCGACTTCGCGGTTTCGTATATTACTAAACAACTACTGAATTCGCAATTTTTCAAAATCAAATCACAGAATTGAACTGACAGAAGTGACATCAGATATTTGATTACTTCAAAAGAATGTTAAAGATGCCTATAAAACGCAGGTGTCCCTACTGTTAAAAACTTGAAATTTCACGTCGATAATTTTCAGATTTCGAAATAATGTAATATCTTCTCAATATTGATTCGTCCTTCCTTCTGTCACAGAAAAAAATAGTGTATTATACACGGGAAAAATATTAGATTTTAGCTCACGGTTTTTTGTCTCCATCCGCTACGCGTCGGGAGACAACACAACCTGGAGCTAAAATCTACTACTTTTTTCCCTTGTATAATAAATAACTATTTTTATTCCTAACCGAAACATTTTTCATGGTCCTGTCAAGTTTGTAAATGAAAATCTGTCATGTTGAATCCCGAAAAGGAAACATTATCACGAAAGATATTATTGAGTATGGAAACCATCTACCTTTACTTGAATGGAAGCAGGAAGATGTTTAGGCAATGCTGTATTAGGTTTACTTATGATGCAACTTGAATTTAAGGTGGACCTGTCGTGGAAACTTCGGAAACTCATCAGTGCAATTACACTTTTCCGACATGCAAGCCGAGCACAAAGGTAGGGGTAGGTTGATAAGTTACTATATAATTTTTGGATGTACGATGAATTGATATTCATCATACAGGACGTGGAAAGAAATATCATGTGTGTTCAATAGATGTCATTCAATATTCGTCGTGGCTTATAGCCAGGAAAGTAGTTGTTTTCTGTTGAATAAACCGAGAAATATTTTCATCACATGGAGAATGCGAATTCTCAATGTTTTTCTTCATATTATATATATATATATCCATTTTTTGTGTTCATAAATATATCTGAGAATATTCCTTTCCAATACTATATAATTCATGAAATTCTGTTATTTGCAGTGAAAACATGTCTTTCGTGATGTAAACCATGTACACATCGGAATCACTATACTTGAAAATTTCAGGTACCAACCTACAGCATTAGGAATTATAATGTGAGTAATGTACCAGAAGGATGATGATGTTCGAGAACAGACTGAGAAATTTTCCATCTGAAATCAATTATTAGAAGCAATAAGGTTAGACTCAATCTGGTTATTTCATCAATGTCTTATGGATATGATATTGTGCTCCAAACAGAAAATATCATTATATGTTTTATAGGTAGGTACCTCCTTGAAAACACTAATTCCTACCTTATTCCCCTTGGTTCTCACGATGTGGGAGTCAGAACATAAAAAAAGTGTCCTAACTAAGTCCCAAATTAATCTAGAATAATGAATGTGAATTGCATGTCAAATAACTGCGTTTTTTTTCACACTGATGACTCCAACAATTCGGTGCATCAGAGAGTGGCGTCACTACTTCAATGATGACCCATTGTTCTCGAAATTGAACAAATCGATTTTTTTTATCGCTTGGAGCGCACGAAAGGGAATCCCTATAATGTTCAGAGAACATCGTGCGTTCCTAGGGAGGATAGGGACAGGAGGTAGGTATTGGAATTTTTTTTGAACTTTTGGAGATTATATTATGTTGATGGGAATACTTCCACAGGCAATGAATTCCAGAGCCTAGCCGTTCTATGGATGAAGGAGTCTTGATAAAGTGCTGTTCGACATCTTTCGAGGTTGACAACGAAAGGATGTGCTGACTGGGCTTGTCTAGTTCGTCTGATTGGTATTGCTAGTGGAGGGATGATAGCAGAGATTTCCGAAGAACATTTCCCGTGGAAGTATCGAAAGAAAAGTGAAAGGTCGCCGACCTTTCTACGGTGTTCCAATGATGTCAAAGAGTGAGTGAGTGTGGCGTCACCCACCAGGCGAATGGCTCTTCTCTGGATGGAATCTAAGAGCATCAGCGTATGTTTTGGTGCTGAACCCCATATGTGGGAACAGTATTCTAGAACAGGCCGTATCTGCGCTTTGTAGATCATGAGAAGCTGTTGAGGTGTAAAGTAGCTTTTCGCACGGAACAAGAATCCGAGTTTTTGTGAAGCAGCTTTTGCGATGGATCTGACATGATTATCCCATGAAAGAGTGTTGCTGATGGAAATACCGAGCATAGATATGGTGGGCTTGGTGGGGATGGTGGAGCCAGACATTACAATATCGGGCATACCGAGTTCCGCCTTTCTAGAGAGAATGCAAGCTTGAGAACGCAGTATGGAGAAAGAAAACTCGATAAGAGATGGCATAGCTGAGGTGGTAAGCCGTATGATGGTAGTTTGTGGAGGAGTCCTTCGTGCCAAACACGGTCGAATGCTTTCGATATGTCCAACGCGACAGCTAGAGATTCCCCGTGTTTTTCTATTGAAGATTGCCAAAAATGGGTGACGTAGGCAAGTAGATCTCCAGTAGATCTTTGGTGGCGAAAGCCGTATTGTCTATCATTGATGATTCCTGAGCTCTCCAGATATTTGATAAGCTCAATATTGATGGCTTTCTCCATCACTTTGGAGATTACTGATAACAGGGCAATGGGCCTGTAGTTGTTGGGCATGTTCTTGTTCCCTTTTTTGGGGATTGGTTGGACTCTAGCTGTCTTCCAGCATGATGGAAAAATACCCGACCTGTACGAGATGGTAAACAACTTGCAGAGAATCGGTGTTAATTCTGGTGCACATCTTTTGAGGATAATGGGTGGAATTCCATCAGGACCGTTAGCCTTATTCGTTTTGAGACCAAGCAAAATTCGTCTGATAGTGCGTTGACGGACGACGATTTCGGGCATTCGACTCTGAACGGGTGGAATGTCTGGCGGCAGTTTTCCTTGGGAATCTGAAGTAGAGTTTGCTGCGAACATCTCTGCAAAAATATTTGCTTTCTCCTGCGATGTTGTTGCTAATGTGCCGTCGGATTTGGACAGTGGTGGAAATGAACTATTAGTGAAATTTCTTCCGACCGCTTTAGCAAGGGACCAAAACGAACGGGAGCCATTGGGACAATCTATGAGTTTCGATCTTATCTTGGCATTGTATGTTTCTTTCGAAGCATCTATTGTTTGGCTGCAGTTATTCCTGGCATCAACGTATTCTGCTCTAGTCGCGAGGTTAGGGTTTTTGCGCCAGCGATGGTAGGCTGTTTGTTTCAGGGCAACAGTTCTAGAACAGTTTTTGTTGAACCAGGGTTTGATGAGATCAGAAAAAAAACATTGAACACTCACTCGGTGATGTCCGCTTCGCTGGCCACCCTGCACTGCACGCCCCTGTCCATCAGGCACTTGCCCGTCACCGGATCGGGCGGCGCCAGGTTGATGTAGGGCGGCTCCTCCAGGAAGGTGATCTTCAGGTGGAATTTCTCGGGCACCCCCTGGGGCGGCGTGTGGCTGTCGCCCGGCCACACGATGTCCTTGATGTCGAGCCCTTCGCGCTGCCACGACTTCCACACGCCGATCTAGAACGGATCGTGAATAATGCTGGATCAATTTGAACAGAAGAAAAACAAAAGGAAAAATTATACTGAGCATCCCTACTCTACACGATCCAAACAGAACTCTGTTATAGTGCCTTCTGTAAACAAAACCATAACCCAACGATTCTCTATGTTTCTTGGACCAAAAATACACAACGACATACCAACTGAACTGAATTCCATACATCTCTTCAAGAAGAAATAAAAAATTTGTCTTCTTTCAAGATCGCGGACTTTAGCACATCAGTCGATCGATTTAAAAAACATTTTTCTGCAACCGACACAAAAGTCGTCCATTTTGATACCAAAATCAGCTCTTGAATTGACGTTTCTATTACTGACACAAAAATAGGTATGTTGCTAGGCAACATATTTAGTTCCTAGGAGCTGGAGTTAAATTTAAGTTCCTAGGAGCTAAAGTTGAACTTTAGCTCCTAGGAATTAAAAAGGATGTACTGGACGTCATCAAGAATAAACAACATTGTGGCGGTTGGTTATTTGGGTTGGGACGCATACCTGATTTTTTTCCGATTTCAGCAGATATGGCATTTTATACCCATGCTGGAGATATAAATACACCTTATTATAGTTTAGTATTGGAATTATAAACATCTCAGTTGAGTATTTTTGTTTTAATCAGGGAAGCCTTCAAGATTCAAATACTTTCTTGATCTGTATTTCATTCGTTATTCTCGGGATGGATAACTTGTTTTTGAATAATCACGGCAAGCAATAGTTATTTTGTCTCAAAGAACGATATTGTTTAGCTTCATTTGATTATCAAGTCAAACACAGTGAAGTATGGAGAGGAATAAATAATCACTATTATCATTGTTGATATGCTCACTAACCTAACATTTTCCACGTCTTGTTCCTAAAGCTGGCACTGGCACGGTATTTGCCATTAGAGCCCCTGGTCCATACACAAATAGGTCACTCTGTGGTTGTATTTATATTGAAACTACAATTCGAACATCCTAGAAAACCTAACCTGCTGTTGATGCAGGTAGAATATTCTCACCACATGGATTATTTGTCAATATTTGTTGCAAAAATAGCATGTTTCATTCGGATCCAAAGTGACTTTCTTCGACTCGCAAATTTTGCTTCCGCTCGGCTTCGCTAAACGACGCTTCGCCTCGCAAATGCAAAATTCGCTCGTCAAACAAAGTGTCACTTTTGATCCTAATAAAACAATCTACTAGTATTATCACCGAACAAGTTGAAGTATTTTCATTATCAAAGTTTTAATCCTGCCTTATTCTGTTTCATTTTAACTCTAGTGATAGTTATGCTTTATAGTTAAGGAGTGTGTACAAGTAGTTATTAAAGAAGTGTGTACTAGTAGTATTTTCGTATTATTTTTCTCCATTTTCTTCATCACCATTAACTTACGTCCGTGGGATACAAACACAGTTCCACTATTTATTCACTACTGGAATGATTGGCGGAGTTGTCGGTTCAACAAAAGTTATACTTCTTTGAACTGATCAACTTTCTCTGATCTCCCTCCTTACGAACCTCACGGAGTAGGTATTAACTGGTACAATGTAAAATGTCAACCCTCCTTTGGGAACACCTCTTGTTTATTCTATTTTCAGTTCTATATATATTTATTGTATTATATGTAACAATGCATTTTGTAAACTATAAAATTATTTTTCTATAATGTAATACCAATGAATGAGTAGGAATGAACTAAATGAATAAACGTTATTATCATTATTATAATTATAATTATTATAATCAATCAATCCACCAACAGATTCATAGAAATTTCGTATATATAGGGTGATTGGTGATTCACACACCGCCAAAAAAATCGACCAGCAAGATGGTTCGTCAAATTGTACTGTACTGAGAGATTTATGTATTTCATTATCTTCTTCAGAAGAATAACATATCACGAACTCAACACCCCACAGCTCAGAGCGCGGCACACAAACGGAAAATCTTTCAGAATATGATATAGCAGTTGTTCAGAAGGGCACTTTCATGACTTGAAATTTTGATTTTATTAGCGGAAGCGCATGATGTTTAATTCACAAATTGTTCAGTTCAGGTCCAGAACGAGCACGAGGGACCTGCACCTTGATTAGTCTGACGAATATTCGACATTTTTAACCATGATAATATTGTTGACAGAGACTGAGTGTCAATATCAATGACTTAGTTAACATGACTATGAAGTAGACATGTGACATAGTGACCACAGCGCGTGTCTGAAATTGTCTGAAATTTTGAAAAATAAAATAAGATGAAATGGAATACATTCCAGGCCAAAGAGTAACAATCGTTGTCGTTAAAATTGGGAGAAGAGATTTCCAATCAAGACCTCAGAGTCCTAGTGTTCAAGCTGAAAGTCCACTACTACTAGAAAGTAGAAGCAACGTTGATATTTCAAATGGAACACCCTGCATCCCAGCGAGCAAAAACATCTCTGGGATGTTTTGGGATGTTTTGAAAATGTTGGCATGAAGATGTTATTCTGAGACGTAATACATACTGACCAAAGAGGTCTTTGAAGGATATTGAAGTATTGTTTTTGTTCTTCTGTGGCATTTCTTTGTTTGTCTACTGAGAGGTATCCGTGGGATGTTTTGGGATGTTTTAGAAATGTAGGCATGAGGATGTTTTTTTGAGTCGTAATATGCACTTCCCAAAGAGGTCTTAGAAGGATATTGAAAGTATTATTTTTGTTTTTTTGTGCCCTTTCTTTGTTTGCCCCACCACAACGTCTCAGGCTTACGTCACAATACGTAAAATTCTGATTTGTTTTCGATTTTATTCTTCTTGTTCGCAATTGGCATTCGCGTTTGCAGCGTGTCACGCTTACATCACGCTACTAACGAACAGAAAAGAATTTGGTGAAGTTTATTATTGTGTTAGAAGACTTATTTAGTTTGTAATAATGACCATCAGATGCAAGATGTGTTGTTCGGTGCCTCAGTGTAATCAATATATAAAAGTACGAATTTATCAATACACAGCTTCTCCGCAGTTGCAAAATTATGCATTGTGGAGAACATTTCAAAAATTGGGAAACCTATTTCCAATTATATGTCTGTGTGTAGTAAGCACTACTCAGAAACCGAATAAGAAGGTAATTTCATATCAAGAAAATATTTTTATGTTCAATCTTTTTTTAATGCATTTTTTCATTCAAGGGAAATGGAATCCTAATGCAAAAGTTCATTTTGACAAAAGGCTTCAGAAAAGTACCTCGAAAATGTTATTTTTACAGCGATTTAATGTGCGCAAGACGCGTTGAAAATATTTCGTTGTGTCCATGAAAAAGCTTTAATGAGAACTAGGGGGAAGGTAGTTTTGTAGCATATCAAGGACATCTCGATAATTGCCGCCTGCGGCGGACATGGGCTGTTCTATAATAGTTCTATTCATGTGTGAACAGAACATCGCAGTGGAGGTTCAATGTCTCCAAATCTCGTACTTTTAACATCTCTGAGATGTTTTTGTGCTCAGTAACTATAGTGTAAGCTCGTCGTGACATACCCTGTATAGACATTGTAGACATTGTTAGACTAATAAACTTGTTTTTCGTTAATGGAAAAGAAGGCATGTCACGAAATTGAGCAAAAGTTTATGACTTCTAGAAATCTAGAACAAGGGGAATGATAAATATTATTGAATTCTCTATTCATCTCATCCTGTTCTTCAATACCATTTTATTGAAACAAATAACGGAGTTTTATTGCTATCTATGACTATCGAACTCTACAAATCATATGTTGTACACGTTTTTATTGAAACAAATAACAGAGGTTTATTGCCATATGCGAGTATCGAACTCTACAAATCATATGTTTGGCAATTTCCTCGGAAATGAAAAGCAAGGAAATCCTATATCATCTCGTTCGCCTCCTCTGCACAAAGACGCATCTGATAAATCCACCCTATTTTCCTCATATTATGGAAGATCTCGTGTAAGATATAGCTTGTCAGGGAAGTTTGCCTGTCTCAAGATCATGAATAACTATGACTATTGAAAGTTTGACAACCTCGCTATGACCATGAATAAATTTGTCAACAAAGGAAAGCTTCGTGCAATACATTTTGAAATCTCCACGAGAACAAGTATAAGTGATCTAGCACGATTCTGTTTCATCCTTGTTTCATGTTAGTTTACTGGTAGAAGACTAATTAGTAAGAATATACAATGCTGTCCATCATGGGTATTGAAGAATAGGGTTGATCATTGAGTAAAATTTTAGAATTCTTGCTTCTTTGAATTTCTAATGATTCCAATGTATGTTGTATGATCGAAGATTCTAACTAACTAACAGAGTTTCATGCTATTATTTCCTTCCTGTAAAATTCCTTTCCTTTCATTCCTTTCTCAAAAAAACTCATATGATGTTCATGAATGCGGTGGTTGAACAGTCTACCTGTCTGACCAATATACAGGGTGTTATCGAAAAGGATACATACAGTGTGTGAGATTGCGACCAGCCGAATTTGGAACGCGGCGATCCATAATTCGAAAATAAGGATAAATCTGAAATCTTCAGATATTCAAGGCCTACTTTAGCTTGTTGAATGGGTCAACCTTTTAAAAAACGACTTGATAGTCGTTTTCTAGACTCAATTTTTTTTTAAACAGTATCAAGCTTATTCGATTCAGGAATAGCTAAAATATCCCCATGCAAAATTTTAACGTAATATCTCATAATAGGGTGTTAGTAATTCAAACCACACCACACCAAAGTGCACTTGAAGTGTCTCATTTGGAATAAACCAACCTGTATATTTATATCGTTTTATATTTTAGTAGACCTCATTATTACAGATTCAACAATAGTAGTACGAAGATATGGTCAAAGAAGAAGAAGCAGCAGAATTGACGACATATTGAACAGTTGGAGTTATATTAATTCCGTTTTCATTCGATTCCATCACTCGCGATGTATTATTAAATATATACAGGGTGATTCAAAATTCGATGTAAATATTTGAAAGACATA